ATAAATTCAAAGTAAACATCATTACATAAAAAGGTACGGTCTTTTTTTTCAATAGTTTTATTCCTTTCAAACGGGCCGGACCCGGCCTGCGGGCCGTAGTTTGCCCACGGCTGGCCTAGAGGATAATATGATGAGTGAAATAAGTCAGAGAAAGGCAATTTCACTTATATGTGGAATTTAAAGAACAAAATAAACAACAAAATAGAAATAAACTCATAGGCACAGAGAACAGACTGATGGTTGCCAGAGGGAAGGGGTTGGGGGAGTGAGTAGAAAAGGTGAAGGAATTGAGAAGTACAAATTGGTGGTCACAGAATAGTCACAGGGATGTCCAGTCCACAAATAGGGTTTATAATCACTATTGTCCTAAGTGTGTACGGTGCCAGGTGGGTCCTAGACTCGCTGGGGGAACCACTCTGTAAATTACATAAATGTGTAACCACTGGATGGTATGCCTGAAACTAATGTAAAATAATATTGAATGTCAATTGTAATTGACCAAAAAAATGTTTTTAAATAGCAGGGAAGGGCAAAATGGTCCCCCGAGTTGAGGAAGAGAGGTTAGGCATTCGGTCAGGCCGCAATGAGCAGTGTGGCCGGGCATGCATTTTGTGGTTGATTTTCATATTTCAGACACATGTCGCGTCCCCCAGTTTTCATGCTTTTAATAGAGCACAGACTTCCTTCCGTCCGTGGTGATGAGGCAGGTTTAGGAAAAGCAGCTCAGGCATCTGGCGCCAACGAGCTTACAGGGATCCAAGCGTGAGGATGAAATTGTCATCTGACGTGTCGATTTGGCAAAGGCTCAGCACGCCTTGGAGACGGCTGTGTGGGCCCACGCTGTGTGGCAGGTGCTTCTGTGACTAATTCTTTGCTCTTGGCGCTAAAGTACGTCACTGGCTAAGTCCATCACTGGCTAATATTGCACAGTCTCCCCCCACCCCCCTCCAATTCATCAACTCCTCTTGGGTTCAGCCAATAGGCAGTTTGACCACTTACGAGTCACAGGATGTTGAGGTGGGTGGGGTTAGAGGACACCTGCTCATTAGGAGCTGAAAAGGGGTGTCCCCCATGGTCCCACCAAGTGGCAGCTGGAATGAAGCAGGCCCCTGGCCCACTCTGGTATGTCCTTCTGCCCACTGGGCGCGCCCTGGCCCTGCCCCGTCTGCATCCCAGCCGTGCCCTATTCCAGATTGAGTGGGTTTGATTCCCGGTAAAGGGCACGTATCAGGGTTGCAGGTTTGACCCCTGCCCCAGTCGGGGTGGGTGGGGGAGACAACCAATCTCTCTCTCCCCCCACCCTTCCTCCCTTCCATTCTCTCTAAAAATCAATGGAAAAATATCCTCACATGAGGATTAACAACAACAAAAAAAGATGCCACTCAACAATCAGGCATTGATCACATGCCCACCTGCCGCCTGGGAAAAGATGGACACAGCATAGCCCTGCTCCCAGGATGTCACTGTCCCGGGTGGGAGGCAGAGCAGTGAGGTGGGTGGGACCAGAGAGGAACTTGGGGAGCAGAGGGGGAGGTTCACCAGGTGAAGGCAGGGCTGGTGGGCCCAGGCCGGGGAGACCAGAGATGAGGGCAGCCGTGGGCTGGGGGCAGGGTGCCCTGCAGGAGTGGCCAGAGGACCGCCAGCAATGATGGCTGTCCCGGAGGGGCAAGCTTGTCAGGGGCTGGATGTCCAGCTGCCAGGATGTCAGAAGGCACTCCTCGCTGGGAAGGCGGGCCAGCCGCCCAGCATGCCAGCCAGTCTGAAAAGGCTGCTTCTATGAAAGATAATGTCATGTGGGCAGGACCGGGCCATTGCTACAGATCGGGCCCGTATGGAGTGATGGACACTGAGGTCTGCCCCCACCATTACCAACAGCAGTCACCCTGCTCAGAAGACACACACACACACACACACACACACACCACCACCACCACCCCACCCCACCCCCGCTTGTTCAATCCCAGGACAGAAACTGCAGGCCTCTGTATCCACAGTCCTGAGGGCTACCTCACGGGCCAGGACTTCTCAGCTGTGAAGTGTGATGCCGCTGTCAGCTCTGGCGCGGCCACCAGGGGGCGCTCGCCAGCAGGGCTGGGTAGAGGCATGTGAATTGCATTTGTTTTCCAAGCCACTTGGCTCTGGTTGTGCCCATGCGATGAAGTGAGCAGGATGGAGGTCATCTCCACTGTGAAAATCAGGACCCGGGTCAGAGCTCTGGAGTGACTCACCTGCTCATGTGCGAGGGCCCCCTCCCAAAGAAGGCACTGGGCGCTTGGAAGAAAACAACTGACAGGCTCCAAGAGGCACGGG